TCGCCTTTGGCCTGTGACTATTTTTTAGTTGCTCGTTCATTTTAATACGTATACTTCTGCCCAGGTTTTAAATTACCTAAAGTACACTTGCAGATCCCAGTACAACCTGATTTTCACTTTTTTATAGAAAGTTACGATATTTTTTGGCTGAACTGAAATAACCTTATGGATTACCGCAGGGGCATAATTTATCGTTTAAGAGACAAAATCCCAAAAGACCTTGAAATCGTAATTGATATTATTCTTGAGAAATATTTCGATAGATTGCATGCGTCACATGCAAGGGTTATTTCGATCTCATTTTTTGTATAGCTGGTTTCTAAGGTAATATAAACTTTTATACGCTCAAGATTTTATCGGATAAGCTACAAAAATGGTATAGTGGCCTATTTCGATTAATTGCACTAATTTCCTCTCATCTAGCTGAAGCGTAAACAACTGGTTCTGTTATTTCCTATCATTTTTTCACTTAGTACAAATACTAAATCGCACAGAAATAATATTTTGATGTCTCCATTTCCTGAATCGTATCCAATCTGAAAATCGTCTTCCTGAACGCAGTCGTTCGAAAAATCTGTTTAGACTACTTAATCACGATCCCGCTGTCAACTTTAACTTCCCGATCTCTATTAAGTTACACCACCTAATTTTATATATTAACCTAGAACCATTTGACTTAACACATAAATATGTTGGTACAAGTTGCTCAAATAATAAAGAAAAGTTGGCGCTGCTTGTTAGCGTCTGGTACAGCCACCTCATTCCTTGCTGCTCATGCCTTTAAAAATTTTCTTTGTACGACAATCTTGACGCTTATTATTGTTGCGTAATCTAGTATATTCATATACACATTTAAAGTCCAACTATTTGTCTTTATATCTTATCTACTCTATAATTTTTGCAGTTTTCTCGTGACACTGGTTACGACCATGCTCCCAGCGTAACTGGGTCGATTGGTCATTCCTCCAGAAACAACATTTCCGAAGATACCTCCTCACGACACTATATACCCTCGAGCTTTGCCCTTGAGCTTGATGATGACAACGACGGTCTTGATACTGCCTTCGCAGATCATTTGCCCCGTCTCGGGGCCTCTCCCGGGCCTCAGATACCTCCAAGCTCGCCTACCGAGTTTCTCCCTTTTTATTCTGAAGCAGCAAACAAATCCAGGCGACGCCAAACCCAGGGGCAATCGACTCCCGAAAGTTGTGCCAGTGCTGATGATCGTACTTCACACTCGAGGATACCTCCTACCTCAATACCCTCTTCTGATTCTATCGGAGATAGGGCGACGGGTTCCTCCCCTCTTGGAACACCTCCTTCTTCTCATGATAGTGGGAGGGAACGGACGGATGATCCTTTAAATGACGATGTAGATTCTGCTCTTAATCGGACCCTGACTAACGAGACACATCCGGACATATCCAGACCCATCGTTGATGATGACGATGATGCCCGCTGCAGCCAGACGCGCGAATCATTTACTTCTCGAGGTGAAGTCAACACTCCATCGCCACCTCAATGAGGCACCATGATTCAACTAACGTACATAATTTTTGCGCTTCCCAGCTGGTGACCATCTTATGCTGATTACCATCACACCTTTGTATGTATTTACCCACTCGCGCACAAGGTCGTGCATACAGTGAATCGAACTTTCTCATTGATAGCCAATCAATGAGATTAAAGACTAGGAGTACTTAAGTCATGTCTTCACCTATTCATCTCCACGCCTGATTCGTTCGCATTTTGCTTTGATTGAAGTTGTTTTAACCTGCCGTGAGTCTTAGAATGTCGTATTTTACACTTAATTATTGATGCATCTCCAACATCCGGCATTAAAATAAGACCTTAGATGATGAATTTCGACTCCATTCCGGAGTCACTAGGTCAGACTGTTTGACGGTAATGAGAAGGCAATTTACTTTCAATATTTTTTGTTGTCTTTGCTTGTCTTGGCCTGTGAGAATTCCATTCGGATTTGTGTGTACAATGGTGGATACGGAATCCCAATTATATTTTGCACGAAATGCCGTTATCTACTGTTAACCGAGAATCATATTCGTCGCGTTTCAATAGAAAAGATTTCCTGAGGTTTAATAGTTGCCCTATAGTTGTATAGCCACCACTTACTGCAGCTGCCATATTCAAATTTCTCCATACATCCGAATTAGCAATAATAAGAAGATAATCATTA